GTTACATTAATAGATGGTGTTTTGCAAGCAGTTTTCCATTTCTGAGTGTCCATGGAACAAAATAATGATATTTTAAGGTTTTTAGATTTGCTAACAATATTGTATCAGTAGTATTAACAATGTAATGATAATATATTTTTGCATTCCCACTTTTGTGGTATATAAATAGAATTTGTTATACATGGAAAAAGACTCCAAGACACAGGCGTAGAACACTCTAAATGTCCACTAAATAGTATCAGCTACTGACCATTTAACATCAATCACTATGTGAGATTTGACTATGTAAGCAATTACTGTGTGAGAATTGACTATGTAATTGTGAAGCAAGAATAATAAAATCTGAATGCATCATATTTAAGTGACATAGAAGAACATATATATGTATATAATTCAAGGTGAGCCAAGTATGCCAAAAGAAAAAAAAGAATATTTAGAATTTCAATTATTTCTAAAAATCCAGTATTATCAGTTTAAAGTATTTATTCTATTTATACAGGATTCCTAAAGTGAGAACAAAAAGTGAATTTCAGATTTAATTCCAGGGTACCCAAACTGATTTCTAATTTAGCTATTATGACCTTAAATTTGAAATTCACTTTCAATTTACTTTGAATTCTTACTTTAGTGAATAACACTGAAATATAAACTTTATCATTTTTATTTTATGTAATCTGTGGGAGGTACTGGTGCATTGTGAAAATATATAGTATTTGTTGAGTATCTAGGTTTCAATTTAATATTTTTAAATAAAAATTTCAAATGATTTAATATTTATTAATACACTTTTAAAATATTTTTTTTCTAAATATTAAAATATCAAAAAATATATCATGTATAAAAATATATATATATATATATATATGTATAAAAATATAAAAATATATATTTTTTTAAAATATGAAGTCATTTTAAGATTTTTTCCTAAAAATATTAAATCATTTGCAATGCTTGTGCAAAATTGGAATGTGCTTCAGACAGTTTTTTTTTTACTTCTTTTAGATCAACATCAAAAATAAAATGTGAGAAAGGCTGAATTTATTGGACACA